CCCCCTCAGCTGCAGCCTCAGCCTCGAGGATCCGGAGGGAGCTTCACCTCCAGATCCAAACCAACGATATTCCCGAGGTCCAGTACAACACCTTGAAGAACCACGAACTGTGGCAGAACACGTATTTCCCTGCAAAAGCCAAAGCATCAGTGAAACCAGGAAGGAAGCAGGGTCAGGAGAGCAACGAGGGCCTGAGTAAGCCCCAGGTGCTGAGCTTCGATGAGAGGACAATGAAAAAGGCCAGGAGGAGACAGTGGACTGAGCCCAGGGTTTGCTCCAGGCGCTACCTCCGGGTGGACTTTGCTGACATTGGTTGGAGCGAGTGGGTTTTGGCTCCAAAGTCGTTTGATGCCTACTACTGCGCCGGGACCTGTGGATTCCCCATCCCTAAAGTGAGTCAGAGAGACCTTTAAGCTGATCACACACACAGACCCTGCTCCTGCAGCACGGATGTCATTCAGTGTCCCACATCAGGAGTTATATGAACTGAAACTTCTGAAGATACAGTTGCATGTTGCACGGATTCAATCACACACACATACACTGAAAACGTATGCACATGAAAAGTGTTCTTATAGGAAAAGGCAAATGTGATGAAAACTGGAATTTCAAAAGCATGCAACAAAAATATTTCAGTCACTTTGCAAATTTTTTCAGGCATCAGTTGGCATTTTTTAAAAATATATTTTCACGGTAATAACTTTGTTGTATTAGCACTAATCCATTTAACTTATTTCCTTAGGTGGTGCGTCCTTCCAATCACGCCACCATCCAGAGCATCGTTAGAGCTGTGGGAATCGTCCCCGGTGTCCCTGAACCGTGCTGCGTTCCAGAGAAAATGAGTCCCCTCAGCGTTCTTTTCCTCGACCCACACAGGAATATAGTGCTAAAGGTTTACCCCGGCATGTCCGTGGATACCTGCGCCTGTCGATAGGGCCGGAGCCACCGGATCAATCAAGGTGCGATCACTCAAGATGAAAGATTGCCAGGAGGACGTACGTGTAGACTCAGCATATATCAAGAGAGCATTTCCACATCGAAGAGGACAGTAGTGATGAGGACAGATGAGGATGAACTAATAGGGCTCTAGTTCTTGAGTCTCAATTGAGAACTCTCTTCTGAATCTTGGACTGGTGACGATCGGATGTTGACTCGTTGTCTAACAATTTTCATATATGTGTTTTTCTCCACACTGCATTTATTTTTCATCCAAAAGCAGTTTTGAGAAGTGCACTTAATACAAACCTGTGTATGTAATGATCCTATATTGTATGTATTGACTAACTGGATGTTGAAGTTAAGTATGAAGCTCCTGCAGGTGGACCTTCATCTCTGTTGATCCTTCATAAGCTTTTTCAGTCCTTTTTCAGCAAATTTTCACTTTTATAAAGTGATTTTGCCTGTCTAATATTAGGCAAGATAAGACATGACTTTCTCTGGTCTCAGACCTGGTTGTGGAATTGGTTCCAACTTCACTAAGCTGGGTTTCTGAAACCTTCGGACATCAGTATCCTCTACTGCCTGCCCCTGTTTGTAGGAACTGCATTTTGGACGAACTGATGAACCGTACACTGACTCACAGACTCAGGAGGGTCTGAGGGACACAGAGGCTGCATGGCAGCACATTTGAATCTTACCAACTTAATCCACCTATATCATGTAAATACTGTAGTTATTAATGCAAACTAAATCCTAAAGTACTTATTCTTAAGTGATGTGTCACACGGGGTGGCACATCATTGTCATTGAACACCTCCCATATATTGGCAAAAGATGTTATTCATGCATGAGAGGTAATATCTTGTTTGAACTATACTTCTTTAAACTATATTTCAATAGTCAGTTGTTTAGATCTTGTATATAATGACACACATTGAGAGTGAATGTACTACAAGCATTGTGTGTCTTGTTTCTGCTACAGAGGAAAAATAGTGCATTGCTGCCACCTGCTGTGCATTTCAGGAACGTTTAAGGGACTAAAACATTTTGAAGGAGAAAGTTCTAGTGCTTCCTGTGGCTATTCAGTAGTTCCCTTTAATACATAAATACTGTTTTATCAAAGATGACATGTACAGTAAGTAATAATAGTATATTTGCGTAGTAAGTAAGAAGGATAAATGTATCCAACTGTATAAGTGTAGGCTATGACTAAAAGTGTATTTGAATAGTTATGTGATGTGTGCTTTCACAAATCATAGACATACTGTACGCCTGGTAAGGAAATAAACTGAATTGTACATATAGTCAAAGATACTTGCTGATTTGCTTAGGTTTTATAAAAGGTATATACAGCATATACAGTACCTGGACATATACCTTACCATAACTTACTGTATGTCGATACGTACATATACATTAGATAGATGAGAGCCAAAGGGGCGTAAATTACATTTGACCAACAGTAAAGTTGGTCAAATGTCCAGAGTTTTAATCTTTAATATTAAAACTTCAGAAATGTGTGGATGACAATATATTTAATATACAATATTTTGACTTTTAATGAACAAAAAACATGGTTTAGAATTCACATGTACTCTTTTGCCAGTAGAAAGAGCATCAAGAGCTTAGTTATGTCCCTCTGGTTCTCACCCCTTGAATTGAATTTAAAGTTAAGCTGTTATCTTGGTTTACTTATGTATAATGTTAATCTTGAATATAACAGGTCAAATGTGTTGAGTATCATGATAATGTTCCTTTCCTCTCTGAACAAAGCTACAATTAAGAAGTCTGGAAAACCTGTAGTGAGATTTGATTTTATTAAATTAACTTTCACTGCTCTCATCAGTGTCCTCCCGAAGCAGATCTCTTCATTAAATAAACCATGATAAACCCGTTTTACACAGAACCAATCCGAGAGACAAAGTTCGCAACTAGCTGGTGAACACAGAGGGGCATTTAGCAGCTTAAAAGCCACATATTTTCTTCAGAAGTTGGTGGAGACCCAAAACAGAGCTCAAAGGAGAGAGAATTTTGGACTTATTTGTATCATGCTGAAAGAAACACAACTTCCAATGAATGCTAATGTTGCTCCATGTCTGCTTGATGACTTAATAGGCAACTGTGTACCACCAGTCAATGTTGAGTTTGTTCCTCTGCCCCCAAGAAGGCAGCATTTTTTACCCTGCTTTAAAGAGCTGCTAATAATAAAACAGTTAATTGGAGAGTTTAAATGTTACATAAAGTTTCAAAGCCCTTTTGACCCTTGGATACTTTCGCAATTCTTAACTTGAAAACATAAAAGCTTGCGTTGATTATTGAAATTAAACATCGCACTCCTTCGTACAATATTTATGTCAGGCATAAAAAAAAGGCTATTGGTCAAACTCTAATATAATTTGATAGGTTTTTACTGCATATTTTTCGACCCAGTAATATGACCACAGATCTTTCTCAGTCCAGTTTTCCCTGCTGTGTTTGTTTCTCTCCTGTGTGCCTACATTATTTGCTGTATCCATGCCAGTAGATTTTGTCGTCGCCTTTCATCCCTGATTGACTCCATAGAGAGGAATTCTTAAAAGCCTGAAAGGGCCACAACAAAAACATTTTTATGAAACCCGGCGTGAACCAAGTACTGAGTGACTGCATGGGTGAAAGACAGAAATTCCAAGATAGTCCGGACTCAGGCCAACGTCCCCAGACACATTGGCTTGTGGTTGGGGCTCAAACCCCCCCACGGGAACAAGGGGCAAATCCCATCATCCATCTAGCATATGCAGGATGTAGTGGTGAAAGCCACCACCATCATGTCCTTTGTTCCATTCGCCAGTGGTGTGAAATAAGCTCTCATGCTATCAGATTTTATAGATTCCCCCTATATATGTTTATGAACATTTTACCTTGCATTGCTCCTAACATTCTGCGTCTGGTTGTTCTTTAAAAAGTGCAAAGGAAGTGAAGTCATGTTTTCTTGGAATAAAGAATTAGGGAATTAGTGATAGCTGCCATGGATGAACAAGAACATTAAAAGAGATCCCCCTAGATAAAGTTCTACAGAAAATCAAAGGAAAAACATGTGAGAGTCACTCACAGTGCTTGACCGACAGGGTGGTTTCTGGGAAGTGCAGTGGAGAAAAAAATACAGAACTTTACACAATCGTGATGTGTTTCCCATCAGAAGTATATCTTTGTTCCCTTTTTATTTTGAAAAATACCTACAGTATGTGGGAACACAACAAATTCTTTCGACTGTCATATAATCTAATAATGAATAGTTTTCAATAGTTACTGAAAAGGAGAGGGAAGACGCAGCTGCTCTAGTGAACGCAAACAGCTGCATTCAGAGTCTATTATGGATCAACTTTTTCAGTTTGATATCTGAGTTCCCTGAATTATACACATCTTCACCAGCAGAGAGAAGAGACACATTCTTGGAGGAACATCAGCTATAAAGTCTAAATATCCATCATTTGGGACAATAAACAACAATTACGATACCAGTCAGCAAAACTTGCTGTATTTATTTAGTCATATTGCTTAACATTTCTTCTATATTAAGCTACAACTGGCTAGCTGCTAGCACAGATTCAAAATACAGAAGAGTTCAGCTGTGGCTCAGGAGGTAGAGCAGGGCATCCACTACAGACAGAAGATTGGCAGTGCGCTGCTCCTCCAATACTAGAAAGTTCCTGCACTGTGAATTCCCATGTAACTAACCTGGTTTGATATTTCACCAAGATTTTTGTCTGGTCTCAATATAGTAATAATAGTATTCATTAATTTGTTAAATAATTTTGTTATTGTAAAATTCTGTAAATTCAGAAATATAAGTAATCCGTTTTCAATTCATCTCCAGGTCAAGTCAATTTTATTTATAGACCACACAAATCCTGGGTTTTTAAAATCTGTACAACAGTGGTCAACAGTGTTTGGTCACCTCGGCTTAGTTCAACAAAAAAAAAAAAAAAAAGGCATTCTATGGAGATGTCTGCTTGTCAGTAACCTCACAGTTTCCAGTGCCTCCCTCATTATCTCTGTCAAGTGTTTACAGTGTCTTCATTAGCAGCCAGCCCTCTAATGATAACAAAGCTTAAAAGAAGGCATCAATGGCAGTGATAACAAGCTACTATTTTGGTTGACACCAAGTCCCCCTGTTTACTCTGGGAGCATGGGAGCGGACATCAGGACTGTGGTCCTTGCATTGGGGATCTCCATTTTCAAACCTTGCCATCGCAAAGTCTGTTTTCAAGCCGGGAAGAAGGTAAACTTCGTGAAAGATCAGTGGCTTAGAAGGAATCTAATTTCAACATGCAGAGCTCCAGATCATTCCTGTTCCAGGTTTGTTTAAGTCTAGTGGTTTCTATAGGCTCCTGCACCTGTAAACCTCTCACTAATGACATCCAGAGCGAGGACCTTGAAGGACTCTACTCTCAGCTGTCAGAGGAGGACCTTCTGGAGGAGGAAGACACCGACTCCAGGATGGAAAACCTCCTGGGAACCATGAAGGAGGGCTTTCTTAAGAAACTCAACCTGTCTGATGTTCCTCAGGAGCACAGTAAGATCTACCCTCCTCAGTTTATGATGGAGCTTTACGACAAGTACGCCTCGGACAGCTTGACAATCCCTCAGTCTGATGTCATACGAAGCTTCACTGTCCAAGGTACATGAACAGAGCGTAACACTGACTACCACCTGTTAATAAAGATAAATGTTAACCACAACTGCTTTATGTATAGTTTAGGTTGTCTTGAGCTGTTCAATTGTATCCATATATGATGTAATAGAGGCTTTGCCCCACTCACAGCAACAGAAAGCATCTTCTTGGCACTTTTTTGTTCAGTTAGGGTTTTTTATGTGAATTTTACATTACATAAAGCTCTAAACCCATGGTTCCCACACTTTTAGGCCTGTGGCCCCTTCATTGTCTACTTGTGATCCCTCATTATGTGATCAAAAGTGATCTTATTCTTAGTTTATTTTTGGGTGCCTAAAAATAAAAAAATAAAACGTCCTGTAATTTGTAAATTCAAAGGAAAGTCTAAAAAAACCTAATAATTTTATGAAACAGAAATATGCTTTTTCTGGTTCCTCTCTTTTTTGTAATTATGTCACAGACACTCAGATTTATCTTGTGAGCCCTTCAGGGGGCCTCAATACTGTGATGTATTACCCCATGATAGCCTCCCAAAGACTGTAATGCCTGTATCTTTCCTAGAAATAGCCGGATACAATGTATTAAATAATGATTCACCCCCACTTTTTTAATGTTGAACTGAAATTTCACTCATTCAAAGACACTTAAATGATACAGCAGCTATTGTGCATTGTATTCCATTTTTGGAGTTAAACCATTTTTGGATATAGTGTATTGGTTTCAAGTGTCTGGCCATGGGTATTTTGAGCCGTGATCCAGAGTTGCTGACTGTCAATTTTTGTGATCCATATGTTTTTTACTTTTTTCAACAGGCAACATAACATTGGTTATCAACTATTAACAAATTCAGTGCAGTTAAGTTCATTTCACTCAGAAAGTAGAAGCTAGCAACCTAGGCTATCTAGCTTCCACGTGGAAAGTAAAAGCTAGTTAGCCTATCTTGCTAGCTTGCTAGCTAACACTTCGATCAAATAAGTACAAGTCAAAGCAAACACCGATACATATACAGATTTCTTTCTATACAGAAAAATCTCGGTTTGACCCCTTGTCAGATGTGCAAATATCAGCTGCCACTGACCTCTTCGTATCTCTCCGACAGATATCACTTTCTCTGTGACAAATGGCACAAAGACGAAGTACAGGCTGCAGTTCAACGTCAGCATCCCCAGCCATGAAAAGATTACTACTGCTGAACTACAGCTCTTCTTCCTCCCACGTCCCAGGTCAGGGGTCACCTTCCACAATTTCAGGGCCACCGTCAAAGTCTATGAAGTGGATTACGACGATTTCACACCCACGACCCAGCTACTGGTTGGCAAAGAGGTGACAGGCTCACAGAGCACATGGGAGAGGTTTGATGTGACCACAGCTATTCAAAGCTGGATCAGGTCGGGTCATGGAGCAACTGTTTTTGATGTAGTAGTGGATAGGAAGGACTGCGGGGCTTCTAAGGGTGGAGAAGAAGGAGAAGGCTGTTTAAGTCTCAGCGTGTCTGTTGGGGATAATATTTCAGCGGCTTTAATAGTCTTCTCAGATGACCTGGGTAGCAGGAGGAGGGAGACCAAAAAGGAATTAAGAGAGATGATCCTCCACGAAGAAGAAACCATCTTACACTCGGGTGCCGATTGGAACAGAGGAGATCAACTTCCAAACGAGATCCCAGAGGCTCAGCATCCACGGAGGCAGAAGAGGAAGGCCGAGAGGGAATACTGCCGACGAACCTCTCTCAAGGTCAACTTTAAAGACATTGGCTGGGACAGCTGGATTGTGGCGCCTCCAGAATATGACGCCTTTGAATGTCGAGGCCTGTGTTACCACCCACTGACAGATGAGTCCACCCCGTCAAAACACGCCCTCATCCAGACACTGATCAACATCAGGGACCCCAAGAAGGCCAACATGGCGTGCTGCGTCCCCATCAAACTGGACCCCATCACTGTTATGTATCAAGAGAACGGACGCCTTACTATAAGATACCTTTATGAAGAGATGAAGGTGGCGGAGTGTGGCTGCAGGTAGTCAGAGAGATTTGGTTTGCTCTGATGGTAGCACAGGTGATTCTTATGGTTCTAATGCTGCATTTTATTCGAGTCAGTCCGATGTTCATGCACTCCATTGATCCAGGAGAGGTAAAATAGCCCAGTCTAAGAAGAAAGAGGGATGCCCCTACTACCTATTTGAAGAAAATTTAAAAATCCTAAATATTCCATGCAACAGCTTATGTTACATCAGTGATATTTTACCTAAATGGTGATGTTTTGCAGTTCAGCACTCAACACAAAATACAGATTACTTTTGCAGGTCTTACCGAAAGTATTGGACCAAAAGAAAGATCTGAAGAATTCATCCTCTGGGGGCCATTATATTCACGCAAAACTTCAGGGCAACTCATCCTGCTAGTTGTTCAGTTCAGTGTGGACCAAAGCGGTGGACTGACCTGTCAACAGACCGACATTGCCACCCCTACAGCCCTGCCGCAAGCATGGCTAAAAATATAATAAAGGTTAATTAAATATATTGTGTGTATAGTTTTTAGACTGTAGCCTTGAAATAGCCCAATGCCATGTTGAATTTACAGTTTATTCTATTCCTTGAAATGTATTGCAAACAAAAGTTTGAAAACTCAAAAATAGCGATATGTCTGGGATGCAGCATAATAATAATTATCAAATTATGCTTTGTAGCATTTCACATGTCGAAACTACCAAGCAGAAAACCAAAGGAAACAAACAACTTTACATTGTGTATTTAATACTGGTTATATGTACATAAAAAGCCCTTACGCTGCCTTGGTCTAATGTGTTTAAACAGAACTAATAAAATTGTATTTTGTATGTAGTAAATAATGTAAAACAGAACATAAGTATGTAAAAAGTAAAGTAAAATTAAAAAGTAAAATGCAAATGTAAAAAGTCCATCTTTAATTACTACTACGTCTACAAAATAAAAAAAAATTGTGAAAGATTAAAAAAATATTGCTAAAGCGGATCCATTTGTAATGTACGGAAGCCCTGAGAACGAAGTGAGAAAATAAATTCTGAAGATCCATTTCAAGTCCTCCAGTGGAGTTTTAATTTCACTATGCACTCTAAACACAGCATGGGTAAATTATACATATATTATTATATGTATACACATGAGTTAGCACCTGTTTCAACGGATGAAAAGAAAAAGTATTAATCCTCTGGGCTTCCATAATGTGTTTGTAAAACCAATAAATTGACCTGTTGGCATTAATAGGGTGGCATTTAATCACAGCTGTTCATCTATTAATCCTGTACTAATTTTAATGTAAATCTGTACATTACCATTGTAACTGTATGTTTGTTTATATTAATATATTAGTAGTAGTCTGTAATCTACTGCCATACAGACTTGTACTTGTACAGAATGGTCAGTTTATACATGCATGCTACATTGCTGATGTTGCATCCACTACAAGAGAAACTGTTTCTGAAGTGTTGCCATGCACGGCCGCTGTAATGAACTCCAGCAAATTGTCCAGCTTCCGGTGGAGAGTTTTTTCCTACTGTATGTCTTTAGATGGCAGCATTTTGTTTCCGAGGCCTTTCCTATCCTGAAATGAATAAAAATCTTGTCACAAAATAAAATTGTAGTTACTAATCTTGTTTACTGAGCTCATTCTGCATTTATAGCATTTAGTAACTTGACTTAATGTCTTTTTCTGGCCAATTCCTTTACTTCTCTGATCTCCAGGGATGACTGTAGTATACCAGGAGGCATAAAACTCAACCAATAAAACACTTAACACCTTGTATCTGCAGCTTCAAACAACTAAATAGTATTATTCCTCTAAGTTCTATTTAAAAATCTACAGAACTATACTGATTGCTGACTTTTCATCATTCAGCAAGCAGGTTCTTATACATTCCACTGGCAATTTTGACATGGCATGACATGTTGATTTTGTGAAATAATGAGAAACGTTTGTGATATAAAAAGATAAAGTGAAAACTGTGAATATTTCTATAATACCAGTTGGATGAATTTGTACTTTGTTCTCAACATTCTCTTCTCTTTTATTCCTACATGTATTATATTGGAGGGACAAAATAAGGTAGAACTTTATTTATCCACAGGGAAAAGTTGGCTTCCTTTTGTCCATAGGTGTGAATGTGTGTCTGTTTATATGTGAATATTTGTCTATATAAGGCCAGCCCTAACTGAATTGGGTATCAGAATGAGTGCAGCTGTGAAAGCACAGATGTCGCTAATAGCACAACATTAACAACACTATTAATTGTATTATTTACACCTTTCTTTTTGTTACTTTGATGTGAGGTGTTGAAGCTCCAGGATGCAGCCAGGGGAAAACAATCATTTCTGAAAGGATCATCATCCTTTGCAGAATGACAGGATTACAGCAGGCAGCAAGGGAGGGGCGGGGTACGCCTGAAATCAAATCAGTAAACTGTCACCTTGTAGAGATGGACACTAGTGCAGAAACCAAAAGCAATAGAAAATATCTCTCTGTTTTTACTACCACATTAAAATGCATTTTTGAGAAAATTAAGAAAACTTTTTTGAAAACCATAGACATTAATAGGCAATTTATGATTTTATATATGATATATAGTATCATATATGATGATATTTGAAATGGAGCTATGTTTTTTGGGATGTTTTCTCAAGTAAATCAGTCCAGTAGCAGATTATTGTATCCCTGCACTAAGTTATAGTTGCACCCTACTGCTCGTCATATGATAGTGAAAACAGCTGTGAGTCCTTGTATCTCTTAAGCAGTGACACCGTCAATAATGAGTTTATAGCAGATGATATTCTGTTAAAGTTGGTTCAGTTAGGCTAATGTATCCTCCTGTACAGACTGTGTGCTTGTGCATGATTGACTTTTACCTCACTCTCTTGTTAATTCATGGTTCAAGGAGTTTGGTAACTTCAGATAATTCCCAGCACAAATCCACCCACCTCAACCGGAGCAGAAGCCTAATTAACCAGAATAAGTGAAAACACCTGTGTAGGTGTGTAGGGCTTTTAATAAAACTTACTCTTTTTGCCTTGACTGCTATCCTCCATTTGTCCACTGCCAAATAACATTTATTGCACTTTGAGGTTTTAATCTATTCAATACATTCCAGAATATAATTTAATTATTAAAAATGTTCTTAAAAAAATCAAGGTATTGTTCACAGTTCTTGACTATCCTATTGTAACTGTGAACCCAAACTGTAATAACAATGGAGATAAATAGTAAACTGCACTTATAATGATAAGATGTTTGATCCATTCGCAACCTCCATTTTACACATTATTCTCAAATTCATGGCTGGTGGAATATTGAAAGTGGCTGCTTCTGTAAGGTGTGAGAAAACTTCTAAATATTGTCTGCATGTATATCTTAGCCGCCACCAATCAAGGGACTCAAATTGAGAATTACATAAATTCAGCTTGTCTGTAAATTTCCTCACATAACAGGACCATCCCATATTCTGTTGTTTGTGGGGACAGACTCGAATCACAGATAGACTTCTCAGAGGCCACTTGTATAAAATGAAGGGAACACACTACATCTGCACAAATCAAAGTAAAACTAACTAATTCTCGTCAAATATTTTTATCTTAATGCACAGTGTCAGCTCTGCAAACATTTGCAGTCAGTGACACATCCTTATCAGAGCGGAAAACCTCTGTGACAAGACCAATGAGGGTACAAGTTCATGTACGTTAATTGAACATCCTTCCTGGGTAACCCAAAATAGCACCAATAACGAGACACACAATTATAAAAAGGAAAAAAGCCAATACAATAATTGCTTCAGTTGACTTTTGCCTCAGAAGTTCTTCCCCCAATTTTTAAAGTGTCTGGATTGCAATAGCAGTATTAAAATGTTCTTTGTCCATTTGGGAGCAGAACAACAAACTGTAAACACACAATTGACAAATAACAACCTTATTTATTAGAACAGCATTAAAGGCAACACTGAAAAGGGCTCGCTAACTAGCTACCTAGCTAACTACTGAAATAGCTAAGATAAGTGTAGCTGGTCATGTTTATGCCTACTGACATGTAAATAATCCACTGAGATTATTTCAGCCTACAGCAGCAGATAATAGAGAGTAGAGATTATTTGTACATCTTAAATTCTGCATTACATTTTTTTGGTTGCTGTTAGCAGTTCACAAACTTCAATAGGCCTATGCAAAATTGTGGTAGCCTGTTATTATATTGATACAGGAGGGCAAAGTATGACTGTGATTAGAAGTCTTAATTCGCATGCTGGGAATTTGGCAATGGGGATTGTATTATGTAAGGCATGAGGTGGTATTAATAGTTAAGACACTAAGATTAGCTGAGCACCGTCTAGCATTTGGATGGAGATAATGTCTGGCTGCATAATTCTGAGCTGCAATAATTGCCTGGATCAGGGTCTTGCGGGATTCTGTACGGAAGTCATTCAGGTTCAAGATCAACAACAAGATCGAACATTTACAGCACATACAGAATTTGAATCAAATGAAAGGATTAAAACTTAGACGTAGACACTTTCCTTGTTACACCATCCACCAAATGAAAAGATATCATTTAAGAAACAACAGTAAAGCAGGGGAAAAGGGAGAGTAAATACTTCAGCATTCAACCCAGATAAAGACTTTCCAATCAACCTTTTGTTCCTGTATCCAGAGTGTGTTTTTTTTTTTTTTTTTACCCAATTCTGATCCTGCATGTGTTTTAAGAAGGCTTTGCCACGTGTCCACAAACTGTGTAATCATGTCACCAGTGGAGCGACCCAGACATGACCCCTAAAGCTACCAAGCGCACAGAAATACGCCACCATAAGCTTTCATAACAGACAAGTGGGAGAGAGTGAGGGAGAAGGAGTGTGAGAGTTTCTGATCAGGGCTTTCATATCACTCCACCGAAACACGTGTTTGACCTGTCCCTCGAGACAGTTTTGTGTCTAAAAGAAATGTTGAGGTGGTATCAGTATAATGATATATGATAGCATATGATGAACTTGTCATATGATGCAGACAGTAATTCGAGCACAAGTAAGACTACAGTGAAACTGTTAAATTGTGTCAAGTCCATGGACAAATACCAAGCAACTGCACGAGTATCAATTAAAAGTAAGAACCAAAACAAGCACTGTGTTGGTGTAGGAAAGGGTAAGAAACTATGCTCCCATTTACCATTTTTCATTTTGTTTGTTATTGTCTGTTGGCTGAAGCACCACATATAATGCGATTAAAGGTTTATTGAGGACAAAAGCCTCTTATGTTGATGTTGTTGTCCAAAAAAACGACAATGACAGTGTTCCCTCCTACAAAAACCAACCCCTCTTACAGGGTCATATGAACTATCACAGGCCAGTGAAAGTGAAGTCAGAGTGCTTCTCTTTCCATCAGTGATGATGAAGACATTGGCGATGGCGCAACACACACCACCACTGCTATTGATTCTTCTCTTATGTACTCTATCTGTAAACTCGTCATTCCAGCCTGCCCTGGTATTAGAAATGGCCAAGATTCTTTTGGAAAACTATTGCTTCCCAGAGAACCTGGTTGGGATGCAGGAGGCCATCCAACAAGCCATCAACAGCGGAGAAATCTTGCAGATTTCTGACAGGAAGACACTGGCAGCTGTGCTTACAGTCGGAGTACAAGGGGCACTGAACGATCCGCGGTTGACTGTGTCATACGAACCCAATTTCATCCCAGTGATGCCACAGATACTGCCGTCTCTCCCCGTAGACCAGCTGATCTGGCTGGTGAGAAACTCTGTCAAGCTGGATAACCTGGACAACAACGTTGGATATTTGCGGATAGATCGGATAATTGGGGAGGAGACAGCGGCAAAGCTTGGCTCTCTGCTGAGGGACAATATCTGGGACAAAGTTGCTCAAACATCCTCACTGATCTTTGACCTGAGGTATAGCACAGCTGGTGAATTGTCTGGAGTTCCGTTTATAATCTCCTATTTCTCAGACCCTGATGCTCTCATTCATATTGACACTGTGTATGACAGGCCCTCAAACACAACCAAGGAACTATGGACCATGCCGTCATTAATAGGGGAAAAGTATGGAAAGAAGAAAGACGTGATTATTTTGACCAGTAAGCATACCGTGGGGGCTGCTGAGGCAGTGGCATATACATTAAAAAACCTAAAGAGGGCCATCATAGTTGGGGAAAGGTCTGCTGGTGGGTCAGTTAAAGTCCAAAAAATTAGGATCGCTCAGTCGGCGTTCTATATAACAGTTCCTGTTGCAAGATCGGTCAGCCCAATAACAGGTCAGAGCTGGGAGGTGAGTGGTGTTTCCCCAACAGTCAACATCATTGCCAAGGAAGCTGTCACAAAAGCCAAGTCCCTTCTGGCTGTAAGGAGTGCCATTCCAAAAGTTGTGCAAAGTATCTCTGACGTAATCGGGCGATTCTATGCTTTCACTGACCGAGTTCCAGCTCTTCTTCAACATCTGCAATCTACAGACTTATTCTCTGTCGTATCTGAGGAGGACCTAGCAGTCAGACTCAACCACGATCTCCAGACTGTGTCTGAAGATCCACGACTGATCATCAAATATATGCAAGACAATGCTGCCATATTAGAGGAGGACCCTGAGCTTTACAATGTTCCAGATGATATGAAATTATTAAGAGAGCTGGTTGATACGATGTTCACAGTGGAAATTCTCCCACACAACACTGGCTATCTCCGCTTTGACAAGTTTGTCAAGTTCTCTGCAGGGGATAAACTAGAAGAGCTCATGGCTAAAAAGGTATGGGAGCCCCTCAAAGACACTAATAACCTGATTATTGATCTGCGCTATAACACTGGTGGATCCTCTACGTCTCTAGCCCTGATACTGTCCTATCTGCAGGATGTTTCCCAGGAGCATCACTTTTTCACAATATATGACAGTTTTCAGAACACAACAACAGAATATGACTCTCTGACTCAAATTACAGGCCCATCCTATGGCTCCAAACGAGGGGTTTACGTGTTGACCAGCTACTACACAGCAAGTGTCGGCGAAGAGTTTGCTTACTTGATACAGTCCCTACATTGTGGCACCGTCATCGGGGAAATTACATCTGGTACCCTGATGCACTCAAAGACGTTTCAAATAGAGGGAACAAATATTGCCATGACTGTCCCTTTCATAAACTTTTTAGACAACAATGGTGAATGCTGGCTGGGAGGTGGTGTGGTTCCCGATGCCATTGTGCTTGCCGAGGATGCTGTGCAGCATTCTCACAAGATTGCAGATTTTCACAAAGGGCTCAGGTCCCTCATAGAGAGAACTGGGGAACTGTTAGAAAAACATTATGCAATCCATGAAGTTGCACTAGATGTCAGCAAGGTACTGTTGAGCAAATGGGCTGAGGGATTGTACCGGCCAGTGGTTGATTTTGAATCTCTGGCATCTCAGTTGACGGCGGACTTGCAAGAAACTTCAGGGGATCACCGCCTTCATGTCTTTCACTGCGACGTTGAGCCTGAGTCACTTCATGATGTACCAAAAATTCCTACTGCTGAAGAAGTGGGATACATGATTGACGCTTTGTTTAAAACTGAGCTTCTGCCAGGCAATGTTGGTTATCTGAGGTTTGACATGATGGCAGATGTAGAGGTAGTAAAGGCCACCGGACCTCAGCTGATAAAATTAGTGTGGAGCAAGATAGTAAACACAGATGCCCTTGTAATTGACATGAGGTACAACACCGGTGGATATTCAACAGCAATTCCCCTTTTGTGCACGTACTTTTTTGATGCTGAACCTTTGCGGCATCTTTACACTGTCTTCGACCGCACCACAACCACTATGACAGAGGTCATGACTTTGCCTCAGGTCATGGGTCAAAGGTATGGGTCCTCCAAGGGCGTTTACATCCTCACCAGCCATATGACAGGGTCAGCAGCTGAAGTGTTCATCCGTACTATGAAAGACCTGAACAGGGCCACAATCATTGGGGAACCAACGACTGGAGGCTCTCTATCAAGTGGAACCTATCAGATTGGGGACAGTGTCCTATATGCTTCTGTCCCTAACCAGGTTGTGTTGAGTGCAATCACTGGGAAAGTGTGGAGTGTTTCAGGGGTCGAGCCTCACGTTATTGCCCAGGCAAATGATGCTCTTCCTGTGGCACAGAGAATCATAGCTGCAAGGCTGTTGAAGAGAGAGCAAGGAAAATAGTTCCTCATGTTGTATTAGGGTTAGGGTTAAGGTTATTTCCTTTGAAAACTATTAGCTGATTTGTCTTGTGTTTAGCCACCACTTCAATGTCATAGTCCTGTTTTTATGTGTAGCTTGTGTCGCCTCATAGTCAATTTCGCATATGAATCAGTCATATGGTCCACTGGCCACAACTACAGCATATAAAACAGTCTTATCACGTAATGAAATTTAATAATTGTGCGGTGTTGTTGATAATGAATCGTTCATTTAAGGCAGTAGTTCATAGCAGAGCTTTTCTGACAATTGAATTTCAGAGGAGGTGACCTTATAATACAAAGGTGTCCAGAATCCAGAAGAATTCTATTTTTCTGGTCTTGGTTTAGAGTCTGTGTAGGGTTTCAGGGACATTTTCACAAAAATACAGTGGTGGGAGTATAATAATACTTGTAAATTTTACATAATACAAATGTCGGCCCTCCACAATCTTTTTGATATGATTCGATCTGTTTAAATCTCAGAAAGGCCAGCTATGTGTATGGATTCAATATATATCTCATTACAAAAGGGAACCTGTATGCTATTGGTTAGAATCAAATCTACTATGGCATTAAAGATGATGTAATGTATGATAACCTGTTGATATAATTTTAGGTAAACAATGAGCAAAAGTATGTATAAGTATAATTCACCAAGTCAGTATTTCTTGAAGTAAATTACATTGCACTCTTTTATTTATATAATGACATTATACCTCCCCACTATATTTTTATTTATATATCATATAAGGTTGCCTTTTTCTCTTCTGTTTTAATATTATCTGATAGTTCCTGTGATAACATTTTAAATGCCTCATATAACTAGGTAAATATTGTTGTCCCATATTAATGCAAGAAAAAATATATGATCATTATGTAAATGTATGTTGATGTATTTAATTATTAATTATTAATTTCTTTGCTAAATGTCTTGACTGTTTGCTTATTTTCTTTGCACTGTGTTTGTTCAGTGTGCCGTAATGATGTTTCATTTTTCTGTTCCTTAACTACAAAACTACCAGCAGAGGGAGCAAGCACCAAACAAACCTGAACTGAATCTCACTTCAACACCACTTGAAAAAGGAGACAACCACCACCAACTGAACAGCTGCAATTAAGTGTGCACCATTTATGAAACAATAAAGAATTCAGTGGTTCAAAATTATTAATTTTTTTGGGGGGGCTTTTATTGCCTTTATGATAGAGACAGCTGAAGATAGACAGGAAAGGGGGACAGAGAGAGGGGATGACATGCAGCAAAAGGCCACAGGTCGGATTCAAACCCTGGGCCGCTGCAGCAAGGACTCAGCCTCGGTACATGGGTCGCCAGCTCTACCCACTAAGCTAACCAGGCACCCCTTCAAACTTATTTTTGATTTACTTTCCAGACATTAACAGGCAAATTCTTCTTTGACCATGAAGAAATTGTTGAGTAGGCCACACAACAGTGTTGTGTTGAATGATATAGTGATCATGAGTTTTTAACCTCCTCTTATATTTTCATCTTTAGCCAATCAATAACTCCTACTTGTGAATAGTGGCACCAAGGAGCTTAATAAGTGAACAGTGAATTACCCTTAATCCCTTTCCATTTGTCAGTCACAAAGCTTACCTTATTTGACACAGGCAGCTTTAAATAGGTGCTTAAAATACCTAAATTTAAGTCTACCATCCTTGGCAACAACCCCTTGTTACTACACCTACTTGGCAAGGTTGTTATTGCCTTACCTAAGTACTCAGGATAATACGATAAGAGGTTTATTGTGGGGCAAATCCTCTTACGTGTGTGTTAACAGAGACCTTGCATCCAAAACAGTGCCATTTGACAAAGAATCTCTTCGTAGAAGGAGGTTCGGCTCAACAACTTCCACTTCTCTCACTCTTTTTCTGACTAAACTGACAAAAATGGCAAGGGCTCTCTTTTTGGTAGCATCTCTGCTAGTTTTGGGAAATGTTTTCTTTATTCATGCCTCTTTTTCCCCTAGCCTCATCGTAGATATGGCAAAAATCATCATGGACAATTACTGCTCACCAGAGAAGCTGGTGGGGATGAAGGAGGCAATTGAAGCGGCCAGCAGCAACACAGACGTTCTCAACATCCCAGACGGTGAATCCCTGGCTAATGTCCTCAGTGGTGGAATGCAGACCACAGTCAGTGACCCACGCTTGATGGTCTCCTTTGAGCCAAACTACGTCCCTGTGGTTCCCCCAAAGATGCCTCCCCTGCCCCCTGAGCAGCTCATTGCTGTCCTCCAGACCTCAATAAAGCTCGACATCCTGGAGGGCAACATTGGCTACCTGAGGATTGATCACATCCTTGGGGAGGAGGTCGCTGAGAAGATTGGCCCTTTGCTCCTGGACCTGGTCTGGAATAAAATCGTGCCAACCTCAGCTCTTATTTTTGACCTGCGCTACACTGGCAGCGGGGACATCTCAGGGATCCCCTACATTGTGTCTTACTTCACTGAAGCCGAGCCTCAGATTCACATTGACAGCATATATGACCGTCCCTCAAACACCACCACTAAGCTGTTTTCTATGTCCACACTGCTGGGCAACAGATATGGCACTACCAAACCCCTCATTATCCTCACCAGCAAAAACACCAAGGGCATTGCAGAGGATGTTGCCTACTGCCTCCAGAAGCTGAAGAGAGCCACCATCGTGGGCGAGAAGACCGCCGGGGGCTCTGTGAAAGTCGATAAATTCAAAGTGGGCGACACTGACTTCTACGTTACTGTGCCAACTGCAAAGTCCATCAATCCCATCACAGGCTCTACCTGGGAGGTTACAGGTGTGACCCCTGAGGTGGAGGTTAACGCAGAGGATGCCCTCGCTACCGCCATCAAGATCGTCAACCTCCGTGCCCAAGTTCCAGCCATCATTGAGGGATCAGCGACCCTGATTGCTGACAACTATGCCTTTGAAGATATTGGCGCTGATGTTGCAGACAAGTTGAAGGGGCTCCTGACAAATGGCGAGTACAGCACTGTTGTCTCCAAGGAGAGTTTGGAGGCAAAGCTGTCTGCTGACCTGAAGACCCTGTCTGGGGACAAGAGCCTGAAGACTACCAGCAACACCCCAGCCCTGCCACCTATGGTAAGACCCATGTACATGAAATTATTGGTTTTTGGCAGTGAAAGTATCTTTCACTTGTCTATCTATGGCTGTGGCTCAGAGGCAGAGCAGGTCCTTCCTTAATCAGAAAGTTGTGGGTTCGATCCCCGGCTCCTGATGCCACATGTCGAAGTATCCTTGAGCAAGATACTAAAATGTGTATGAATGAGTTAGTTTCTGTTCGATGGACTTTGCCATCACTGAGTGAATGTGTGTGAAAAGGTGAATGTGGCACGTAGTGTAAAAGCGCTTTGAGTGGTCAGAAGACTAGAAAGGCGCTATACAAGTACAGGTCCATTTACCATTTGTTGTTGTTCAAAAATAGTTATTTTTGTTTGAGATTCCAATATAATATCAGTATTATATTTAGTGATGTGATGATGTAGATGGTGGATGAACAAATTGTCTGTTGTGTTTTTACATTTTTAGAATCAAATTAAAATATAGGATTTTGCAGTGCACTCGGTACAAATGTTTAGTCTATGGAAGATAAGATATCAATATTATAGATTTGACATTTGTAGTATGTAGCAATAAACTTTTTTTTATTATTTACTCGTGATACATTGGCCACACTTATATTACAAATTCTGAGTTTTGCATGTTCCTCTCCCACAGAATTATTCTCCGGAGATGTACATTGAGCTGATCAAAGTCTCCTTCCACACTGACATATTTGAGAACAACATTGGCTACCTGCGCTTTGATATGTTCGGAGACTTTGAGGAAGTCAAGGCCATTGCCCAGATTATTGTTGAGCACGTCTGGAACAAAGTTGTCAACACTGATGCTCTGATCATTGACCTCAGGTGGGTAATCCTGCTCACAGAGCAAGTCAAAGCTTCTATTCAAAATGCAGAAATAGAGGATTTAGTCACCATTAGTATAGTATTGTTTTCTAAGTATTTATGTTTTTGTTGTTTATCTGTACATCATTTTAAAATATGGTGTACCAACAGATCCAGAGGATTAACTGATCTAGCAGGAAAAAGCCAATCAATTTATTACTTAAAAACATCTTGTCTTATCGTACCCCAGCTCAGATCAGATAAAACCTTTATCAATGGCAGCATAAGGGAAAAGTTCACAAATAATCTTTCAATTTCATCATTAATCTAGACTTTCTATGATGTTCTGCAACTATTCTTGCAGGAACAACATTGGTGGCCCAACAACAGCCATCTCAGGCTTCTGCTCTTACTTCTTTGATGCCGACAAGCAAATCGTGCTGGACAAGCTGTACGACAGACCGTCTGGCACCACCTCAGAGCTCTTGACCCTGCCTGAACTCACTGGTAATATAAAAAAAATCATTTTATTTTACAAATGGTGTATAATGCCCTAGATTCCAGTTAGAAGTTAGCTGGTGAGCATGGTGGAGCATTTAGCAGCTAAAGAGCCAGATATTTACCTCAAGAGTTGGTGGAGACTAAAAACAGAGTTGAAAGGAAAGCTATATTGGAAAGACTACTCCAGATGAATGTTAACATTGCCCTGTATCTGCTGGATGTGTGAAATTAGAAAAAGTTTGCTAAGAAGTTTGCATATCATCTTAAAAGGTGATAAGTGTTGTGTTTTTAGGGTGTTTCCACTGGCCCCAAATGGCCAAAAATCTGATGCATGCAGGTTCAAAAATACATGAACATAGAAGCGTCTGTGCTTTCTGGTCAGCAAGAAAGCTTTATTTTCTAAAAGCTGTTTTCTGTATGCTTTTAAAGGGAGACAACTAAATGTCTCTCTGCTCACCCTTCACCCTCGCCACTTCCTTCTTTCAATTCTGTATTGACCCTTTACACTATGCACCCATCACCTCTCTACCTCATCTACCTCACATTTTAACCTTGTTCTGCTTCCATCTTATCTTCTTCCTCAGGCACAAGGTATGGCTCCAAGAAGAGCCTGATCATCCTGACCAGCGGAGCAACTGCCGGTGCCGCAGAGGAGTTCGTTTACATCATGAAGAAGCTCGGCCGTGCTATGATCGTGGGAGAGACCACCGCTGGGGCCTCCCACCCACCCAAGACTTTCCGTGTTGGTGAGACCGACATCTTCCTCAGCATCCCCACTGTCCACTCCGACACTGCAATTGGACCAGCCTGGGAGGGAGTTGGCATCACACCTCACATACCCGTCTCAGCTGAGGCCGCCCTCGGCACCGCCAAGGGCATCTTCAACAAGCACTTTGCAGGCCAGAAGTAAACCACGTCCTGAACAAAGCCAGAGGTGTCACAGCAGTCACTTTTGCTTTGGCAGCCAAATAGTTTAGAGATTTAGAATCTAGACTTGTTTAAGAAGTGAAGAATGTAGAATAAGTACAAAGTACAAAGTGTAATCTGTTATTCATCATCTCAAAACCTAAGCCTTGTAAGCCTGTCTGTAATGTAGAGCAGAGTTTCAACAGAAGGATTTACTTCTAGTTTTTATTTCTGTTGAATATTACCCTGGCTGCTGAAGGTTTTGTAAATGAATGGCACTGAGAAGTTGATTCTCTTGTGAAGTTGGATATGAATAAGTCGGTGTCAAAGATCAGTTGTCAAAACATCAAAATCAAAAATAAATTAAAAGTCACATGAAAAAAAATAGGAAACAAATTAAGTAAACATATAGATGTTTAACAAAAGTTATGTGCTATTCATGTATTATCTTGGATATTTGAAATTGGGACCTTTGTGAAGTAATCTACTTGTTACTCTGATCAGAAAACCATCATGTGATGTCCTCATTGTGTTTGGGAAATTATATATGTCCATTATGCCATATGGGCCTACTTGGGTTGTATCAATGTCAGTGGTGAGACAATAAAAAAGACAACTGAAATACAAAACAAAAGTGTGTGTTGGTCATGTTTTACATAAAAAGAGGAGGCAAAGAAGTACAATACAAAAGTGCTTTTGTGAATCTATCATGTATCTATTCTACAGTGAAGTACAGACAGTTCCTTTTTTACCTAATTAGTTTGTCATAACATAAAACTGTCAGTTACAATGCCAACAGCTGGAAAGAACAAAACATTTCTGTTAAATTGGAGCATCAGTTCACCAACAATGGAGTAAAATGGACCAATATGGACCCATATCTACATCTGGGCCACAACAGACAAAGTCTTGGTACCCAAAGGAATCATCAGAAGACAAGCAAAAGAAGATTTTTATCAAGATTGAAAATTAACTGTACCACAAGCACAGTCTGCTTGAGGGGGTTGTTATGCAACTTGTCAAACCTTGTATTTTTTAGTGACAGTACAATTGTCAAGATTATGCTGTGTTTAAGGGCAATTATTTCAAGGACTGCAGGAACATGCTATTCTCTGAATGGTGACAGTTTTGGTGGTTTCAGTGGTTCAGATCCTGAGTCATGTTAATCAGAGCAAAAGTCAGTCTTGGAATAATTTTGATCGCATGCTTTAAAGGCTAGCCCTGTAGTCTTGGTAAAAATACAATAAACCAAACAGAAACACAGATAAGAACCTATTTTTATTGTTGTGCAGACTAGATTCCAAAAAGAAACCAACCTTTGGTATCAAAAAAAGTGTCTTCATATAAAGTGAAAAATTATTTCGTAAGCATCTTATGTAAATATGTAGGATTAATTCCTCAACTCATACAAAACGGCTGAAGCTTCCCATTTGTATAGTTAATGGTAACTCAACCTTAATAGATATATAATTGGTTACTTTTTTGTGAATCCACTAAAACTATTGTTTCTAAGGTGCAATTCAGAACATGCACCCAGAGTTAAGTGGGTAAGATTTCCTGCCTTGAGGCCCAAGTGAAAAAATCATTTCTCCTGGTCTCTGAAGGAAACTGGACCCTCTAAACAAATATGAAAATATAGAGATGAAACACATATTTTTATTCTTAATTTACTTTAGGTTATTAGTTTTAAGTAAAACATTTTGATTTGTTAATAGTCTACAATGGACTTGAGTGTTTAAGTGTACATGAGTGAACATGAGACAGAGGAGCTCTGGAGTAAAAGTACTGGACTTTCATTTGTAAACCACAGGGATCAGAAGGGATCAGTCAGGCATCAACATGTGTTGAGACTTAAAATGAGAGACAGAGGGTTAAGGAGTGCAGTGTATGTGTGTGGAAGTAGGTGGGGGGATCTGAGGCTTAAAGCCCCACAACAGGAGAACATGTGAAAAACTGGGCATAACCTTTTGTGAACCACATCTTGTTTTGTAGATACATTTTTAATGAATAACCACAGTCAGTGCTAATCTCAATGACAAATACACTGCGTTTTCTGGTGTTAGAGTTTCGCCAATTGAAGTGGTAGCAGTAGGATATGTCCAGTTTGCAAAGGTAGAAAGTTAACACAGCTGTGATGCAACTGTTAGGTAAGTGAACAGTACAGTGAGGCTGATATAAATGAGATAAAATTACAAACAGTAACACTGGATTACATTCAAGCTTAATTTCCTGTGAACGTCATATGAAGGCAACTTAAATCCTGAGCAGGAATGGCGGACTCCGCCACTTACATTAAAAACTATTAGATGTGGTAAATGTGAGTTGTAATTGCTGAGTGTAAATCAAGTGTGAAACTATCGTGACGTCACTCATTGGTGTGTGGAGAACAATTTTGATGCCTCCGGTTCGGTGTTATGGCCGCCGCAATGACAGTAAACTGGAGCCAGCGCGAGCCAGCGGACGTAATGTACTGCGAGTTGATCTACACTCATTGGCTGGATAAACAATGGCAGCTCACCTGGTCACACGCAATATCGTATTACAGCTAAATAGTAGCCTACACTAAAATATGTTTCTGAAGTGATTTTAAGCGAGAAATGGGCAACACAATAACATAATCTAGCTTTGTATCTGATCAGCACTGCCTAGTTTGACAGTTTGATTTTAGTTTAATGCTCTGCGCTGGACGGATTCACTGAGAAGACCTGTCAATCAAAAGGTAGCCCCACCTAAAAGCATACGCTGCTTTATCGTATATTTTATTCTAAATTGGACCATCATTTACTAAATGAACATCATAATGTATTGAAAAAGAGGTCAAACTAGCAACTGAGACCATAAACTCATGAGGAAACTCTTTACTAAGCTCATAATTGAAGTGACAAGTTGGCTTATTCCCCCTATAAAGTGAATGGGATTGCTGTGTTATTGCAGCCAATGGAGCTCCCCCTGCTGGCCTTTACATAGAATGCAGATTTTAAGACACTTCCACGTTGGCTTCACATTTCAGACCCGGAAGCTCTGTCCGTTATATATACTGTCAAGTAAGGCTATTGTTGAAAAAGTGGAACCATAAGGGCTTGATTTTATGAACATTTTAAGGATCATAACTTTAAGGAAATGTAAACATGGTGTATTTTCAGAAATGTCATAACATCACAAACTGCCATACATAAGACATGGGGCCATGTAGTATTTCACCATATAGGGATACTGTATGGATAGAGAGCGAGAGGACCTGGGGGTTAAAAAGGGGCCCAGCAAAATTCATTTCTACAGGGCATGTTAATCCATCCATGCTTACAGATATGATGAGCATGGTTGTCCTCTTTGTGAATGTAGTAGGTGATTTACATATTGATTTTCAGTATATGGATCATGGAATAGATTGTGGCGGGTTTTTTTTTTTTATTAGTTTCAAAATATGAATACAAATGTAACATACACTTCACACAAAGACTAAAACTATCATTTTTGTTGTGTTTTTATTAATTTAATTTCATCCTCTGCTTCCAAACAAACACATTAATGAAAAAAGTGGGACCTTTACGCTTAATATAAAACATTTCTTTGACACCAAACCCCAATCCTTAGTAAAGAAAGCAATCAGACTACTATCTACTAGTTAGCCAGATGTTTTCTTTGGAGATAAGCTTCACAACAGCCAAAACACATTTTGTGTAATGTTTGTTGTACTCTGTAAATGTGCCAATCAGCATATATTTGCCACACTCTTATTACAGCCTCTGGTTTATGATGGTGTAATTACAGAGGATGTTGCTGTCCATGGCCCCTGTGCTGTAATTAACTGGGAGAAGCAGCGCAGAGAAAGCAAACAAACTTGTAGAGATTAATGAGGACAAAACGCCGAGAACCGACATAAATGCACACATTGGTTTAAGGTGGTCAGACAGACTGGTATATATGACAATAGGCTTCAGCATCCAGCAGTGACAGCTCCTATCCATCGTGCCCTGCGCAGATTCCCCCGCTAAATGCGCCAGTCTGCCACGTGAGGGAGGCGCAAAATGGGATCTTGACCCATTTTTCCTCTTTCTCTCTCCTCCTCAGTATGAAATATGAAACCTGGTCCATTTCAGCCAAGTCTGTCCCCCGGGCTCCCAGTTCCTCCAACGCTGCTCTGCAGTAACCCAGCTTCATTTGGCTTTTTCAGACCTAAACTAGTTTTGACACTTTGACAGGAAACTTTTATTCATTTTTTTTTATTATTATTTACGAACCACCCACTCCATCATTTTATCCATTTCTCCCTTTGCCGCGGGTTCGGATTTGTTTCTGCAAAGGTTGTTTTGAAGACTTTTTTTCCGCCCCCTGCTAACTGCATGAGTATCTTGAAATAGCCGAAACTTTTGTTTTCAGTCAGTCCCAGTGAGAGAAAGCATCTCTCCAGCAGGCGTTTGGACCGGGATGCTGGAGGTCAACGATTGTAAACTGAGCTCCAAATAAAAGAGACGCGGAAGCATCGCCTGCATCCTTTCTTTTGTCTTCGTTGCATCTCTGCCTCTTTAATTATATAACTGTCTCTGGGATGTAAGAAGACACTGAAGCATTGTGGTTTCTTTACATCCACAAAGGAATTAACTTTTTTTTCTTCTCCCCGAGGAACTATGGCGAGATTTTTGGTGAACATGCGTCTTGTTCTGGTTTTATTCGGATTATTTTTGCTTTCTTCTCCATCCGCAAGATCCGAGCCGGAGCTCCAAGACGAGGAGGAGGAGGAGAGCTCCTGTCAGGGAGCGTTTGACCTGTATTTTGTGCTTGATAAGTAAGTGGAAACAGCTTATAACTGTTCTCTATACATAAAGGCATAACGGTAATATCACTGGGATGGTGAAATCCGCGGTGAAAGGTAGCAAAACACCCAAAATCAGCTAACATCTGAATGTACTTTTCCTGTTACTTTTATTGGGGCTTTGTGTCACGCTGTAACTGAGGATAAAAAAAAGAGGAAGCTTATGTTCCAAACAGGTGGAGAATTATATGAAAGTTTCAGCTTTTGACACGAATTAAAAAAAGATTAATAAAAGATAAAGATAAATAAGTTTAGCTAATCGGGTTTAAATTGGCTGATTAGCGCCGCTGCATCTGCGCGTGCGTGCGTGCGCGCGCCATGACGCTGACTCGCGGAGTACAGTTTGCTGAACAAGCAAAAAGATGGGTGACGATTTGGATGCTGCAAGAGTGATACGTCTCTCCCTCCGCACGTACAAACCAGCTCTTTCTTTGTCCACATCATTTTTGTAGAAGAAAAAACTGTAGAGCTGCTCAAGGCGAAAGAGGCTGCTCTTTCCTTCCCACCCCTGCTAAAGGGACTTTTTTTGGTCTTAGCTGAGTGACTGCTCACCGTTCACTCTTTCATTTCCACTCTGTACGCCCACATAGGAAAAATGTTGTGGTTTAGTGACATCTTAGCGCTGGACTTCAGCTGGGGAGAAAATAAAATGTCAGAGAAAAGCAGGAGAAACTTCCAGAGGGCCTGCTTCTCTTTAAGTGCCTTCACTGTATGGCTGTTATACATTAAAGTGCAGTAGTCTAACTTGTGTTTCCTAACTTAATGCAATATAGGAATCACCCTCTGTGCCATGTTGGGAGTCAATTTCCACTAAAACCCAC